ATAATGTGTAATTATGAAGTCTTCTTTCTTAGCAGAACATAAAGACTGGTATGTCTTAATTCACTAGCCTCTTGGAGTAGATAAAATATGGTATTTTATACCTACTCTACAGTACTCTCAGTGTCAACGATAAGCTTTGTAAATAAAAGGAAACCAATTGTGTTCTTTTGTGTGTGTGTGTGATTTGGAGTCTCACTCTGTTGCCCAGGGTGGAGTGCAGTGGCACACTCATGGCCACCCCAGTGTTGACCAGCTGGGCTCCAATGATTCTTCTGCCTAAGCCTTCCAAGTAGCCGGAACTACAAGTGCACACGCTATCACACCCGGCTAATTTTTTGATTTTATTGTAGAGACAAGGTCTCGTCAAGGTGCCTGGGTTGGTCTCGAACCCACAGGCGCAGGCAATCCACTCTCCTCGGCCTCCCCAAGTGCTGGGATTACAGACTGAGTCACTGAGACCAGCCTGTTCATTCTTTTAATAAACTCTCAGCCCTACCTTCATATTCCTTCATGTCTTTTCCTCACGTGGCTTTATTTTAAACTATTCTCACTTTCTTTTCAAAAAATTTAACTTTTTAAGAGACATTCTAATTTTCTAGTGTAATATCTAATGCAAAGAGATAAAAAGTTAGCTGGGCTCGGTGGCTCAGCCTATAATCCCGCGCCTTTGGGAGGCTGAGGTGAGTGGATTGCCTGAGCCTGCGGGTTTGTGACCCGCTTGGGCAGCGAGACCTCATCTCTACAATAAATAAAAAAATCAGCCGGGCATGGTAGCGCATGCCTGTAATTCCGGCTACTTGGAAGGCTGGGACGGAAGGATCGCCGGAGCCCAGCAGGTCGAGGCTGTGGTGGCCGGGAGCGGCCAATGCACTCCAATCTGGGCGACAGAGTGAGACTCCAACTCAAAAAAAAAAAAAAGAAATAAAAAGTCCCTTGGGATAAAATATTGAACTACCAACATCTCCAACTAACTCTGAAAAGTCAGAGTACTTTCCAGAAGTTCCTAGCTTGCCTGTAGTTGATTATCAAAAAGACTGTTGAATTATCTCACAGATAATATGGTAACAATAGCTCTCTCAGGTGGTGCCAGAAATGATGACCCTGTGTAATGTCTAAAAACTTCCTTTTCCCTATTTATAGCTGCCCAAGTGAAATAATTTTTTCTTGTAGACTGATGGGATTATTTCTTTTTATCTCCTGCTTCAAGAACTGCTCCAAGGTAGAAAGGCTTATTTCAGGGAAAAAAATGAAACAGGAATCTGAGTCCTCACCAGCACTAACTGGGAGAGGCGGGGAAGTGACTGAGGTAGAATAAAAGAGAGTAGAATCTACTGGAAGAAAGTGCCAGGTCCTTCATGAAAATGTGTTTGTGGAGACGGAGGTCTTGCTATGTTGCCCAGGCCGGTCTTGAACTCTTGGACTCAAGCAATTCTCTAGCATTGGTCTCCCAAAGTGCTGGGATTATAGGAGAGAGCCACCTTCATGGAAATGTACTGACCTCTAGAACAACAGGGCCCACTAGGACCACTGGAAAGCAGTGACATGATTGGGGAACACCCACCCAATTACCGAGGCAGGTTACCACATGACAAAATACTTATTACACACAAGACCAGCATACCACTTACTTCACGCACTTTTCTTCAAATAAGTGTCTAAGAATAACAGGTTACCCCTCTAAAACAATGCACAGCTAATAGAGTGGAAAGTGGATTCTTGGGTGACAACCCAGAGTCCAGTGTGTTATTTAGCCAAAAATGGGGGTTAAGAGGTGAGGCCAAGAGGGTCACTTGTCTCTCTCGAATGAAGTTTCATCTCCAGGCTGGGCATGGTGGCTCATGCCTGTGATCCCAGCACTTTGGGAGGCCAAGGCCAAAGGATGGCCTGGGGCCAGGAGTTCGAGACCAACCTGTGCAACATAACAAGATCACTGAATACAAAAATAAAAAACTTAGCCATGGTGGCACATGCCTGTAGTCCCAGCTACTTGGGAGACTGAGTCCAAGAGGATGAGGCTGTAATGAGCCATGATTGTTCCACTGCACTCCAGCCTGGGTGACAGTGAGGACCCAATTCAAAAAGAAGAAAAAAAGCTTCCCAGTATTGAGATGTCCCTAGGTCATGCGCACATGTGATGAGTAATCACAAGTACGTTCCTATTTTCTTTACTGTATACTACCTTTTTCTATGCGTAAGTGATTAACTGGCTCTTTACCCACATGGCTGGGTTTATATGTGCATTATTTTATGCAATCACAGTTCGCCACGTGAAATGGCTGTTGGCTCAAGCTCACCAAAGGGACTGTCAACAGGGCTGGAATGTTTACTGTAACCATTAGCTTAATTTCACCCAGTGTCATTCAATGGTTGACATTAAGAGGGTCCAAGAAATTGCAGCATTTCTGTCTTCCTGGGAGGTACAGAAAGACAACATTAGTAGCAGGCCAACACTTTTTCTCCCACACAGGCATCTGACCTGGCACAGGTTCAGGAAGTGGGAGGGGGACTGAACCCCAATCTGCGTGCCAAGTATTTAAGATTGGGTTGGGAGCCGTAGGTAGTTCATGCCTGTAGTCCTAGCACTGTGGGAAGCCGAGGCAGGAGAATCACTTGAGCCTAGGAGTTCAAGAGCAGTCTGGGAAACATATCAAGACCTTTTCTCTACAAAAAAATTTTTAAGATTACCTAGACAAGGTGGCAGGCACCTGCTGCTCCAGTACTCAGAAGGCTGAGGCAGAAGGATCGCCTGAGCCCAGGAGGTCAAGGGTGCAGTGGGTTATGACCAGCCTGGGCAATAGTGAGACCACAACAAAAAAAAAAAGAAGAAAAAAAGAAAAAACATATATGAATATGTATATGGAGGAATTAGACAATAATACTCCAGACATTTGTGTCACCTGTCCTTACACTCTAAAACTCTTTCCCAGATGAGATCAAGGAGCTCTACTAAGCACATCAGAAGCTGGGCTCCCCTGATTCTGGGTCCGAATGCCTGATCCAAGTCTCTGTAGCTAGGTGATCTTTAGGAAAATATTCTTTTGCCTCAGTGAAAGAGGAGTGGAAGGCAGAACAGAAAACTGTCCTCTGTCAAGCCTCAGTGAACTGGTCATGATTTACAGAGTCATAAAGCTGTAAAATCCCACAGAGTGTGAGCGGCAACCAAATCTCTCCACCTTGGGAAAGCCGGTGGTGCTCAGGTATTCCATTATTCTGGGTTCCACCTGGCATCTTTCCCACCGTCAGTAACTGCACGGCTTGAGAAAACCCTATGTCTCCACATCTCACCCCAGGAGGCCAGTGCTAGAGAAAATGGGTTTCCAACACTTTCTGCTTCTCCTCCACGAGATGACTTGATCTGTTTCCAAAATGTCTTGAACCAAACCTCAGCTTTATTTGGCAATTTCTTTGAAATGAAAGCAAGCAGGGCATGGTGGCTCACACTTATAATCCCAGCACTCTGGGAGGCAAAGGCCGCAAGATCGCTTGAGACCAGAAGTTTGAGAAAAACATGAAAATAAAATGAAGGGAAGGAAAGATGATTAACTTCTGATTTGGCAATTCTTAGCACTTCCTATGCAGCAACATAACAAGACCTGAATTATTTACTTATTCAGTACCCATAAATAAGTGGGTAACTTTCTTCAACTTTCTTTCTTTCTAGATTGGCTGCCAAGTTGGGTGGTACAAATATACCTAGCTAGGAAAAAAAAATGAACTTTTACTTATATGTATGTGACAGCCCTAAAAGTTTTAAATGTATTATGTATACTTTATTTTGAACATAATGTATTAATATAGTAGCATACGTGTGCAACTATCCAAAAAATATATAGCTCAATGGGTACAAGTTCAAAATTTTTTTTATCAACAGGGCTACATAATTTAAAAAGTCTGAAGATAATGTCTCTTGTAAACTACAAACACACAGGAATGAATTCAAAGGTAAAAGTGAAATCAGTAAGTACTTTTCCAAATAGTAAACAAACAAACAACAATAAAAAAACACAAGCGACTTTGCAACTCGGAGAAGCCATTCTGTCCTAAAGGCGACTTTCCTGAAGAGCTAGTGCCTCCAAAGCAGGAGATGTCTCATGTTTTAGCCAGGGATGTGAAGAGTAGGGCCAGCTTAACTACTATCTATGTTCAACCTATTAGATTTAAGTTCACAGTTTCTTATTAAGTTTAAAGAGAAGCTTGCTACACACGAGAAAATTGAACCAGAAAGGCCAGGGAAGTGAAGGGAACAGAAGAGACCACTCCATTTGTTCACTGCAATGTGAGTCCTGCCTCTGAAAGTGTTATTTCATTTCAATTTCTGACTAATAAAATGCAGAAATCAAAGTTTTTAAAAAAGGAGCAGAACCACTTTTAGTTTGTTTGAAGACAAAGTCTCTCTGTTGCCCAGACTGGAGTGCGATGGCATGATCATAGCTTACTACAGCCTCAAACTCCTGGGCTCAAGCAATCCTCCAGGGCCACTGTCTCCTAAGTAGCTAGGACTACAGGTGTGTGTCCCCACACTGGGCTAATTTTTTTTTTTTTTGTAGAGACAAGGTCTCACTATGTTGTCCAGGCTAGTCTCAAACTCCTGGTCTCAAGTGATGTGCCTGCCTGGCCCTCCCAAATCTCTGGGATTACAGACACAGATCGTACCTGACTAGGAAAAAAACTTAGGCTCACAGAACTTGACCTATTTCAATGTCAATGCACCACACTTAGAAATAACCTTTTATACTGACATACACATATTTTAATAGGGACTATAGTCTTTAGGCCGATGCCCAAGAACACCACAGCTGAAAAAGGACAGGTGAGTGGCTCATCCTGAAATCTGGCACTAAACAAGCTAAGGACACCTTGTGTATGCCTGTTTTTCCAACTTCTCTATATTGTTGGCCCCCCAAAAATTACACACATTCATATAATGCATGTATCATTAGAGACAGACAACAGACAGGACTAAGAGCCACAGCTGCCTTGCAATGAACATGGCAGGATACCTGGGATGCTTTCTAACTTCCTTCTGAGCTCCTCATTCTCTTGTTGCAGTGAAATAACCTCCTGTTCCAGCTCCTGGCATCTAGGACAGTAGCCTTCCTCTTCCTCCTCCTCTTCCTCCTCCGGCAGTGTGGATGAGGACGGGTGCCCGTGGGATTCGGATGTTGCTGGGGAGGTCCAGCCACCTAGCGTATGCACAGGGGAGGTGGACAGAGGATCCATGTCGGCCAAGTGGCCGTACTCACTGACCGATGAGGCGTTCGCAGTCGGGAAGCTCCCCGAGAGCAGGTAATTTTGTAGAGAGTCCGTGAAAACTCTCAAGAAGGCAGAAGTCTGTTGCTTCCTTTGCATATATTGCATCTCTATGTCAACACTGTCTGAGGTCTGACTGTGGACCCCTTTCCCAATGTGACACTGTTCCTGTCTTTCATTGTAAGTTGAGCCTTCCTGCTTTACGCAAGAAATCATGGATTGAGAGTGGTTGGAGTCCAGAAGTTTCCCTCCACAGTTCAGGAGACTGAGAACGCGGCTGCACTGCTGGGCGAAGGCATCCAAGATCATCCGGCTCTCTGAAATAGATGAGAGGACACATCAGTGACCCATAGCCAGTGGCAAGTGACCAGTAAGATCCTCAATGTTGAGCTTAACCTTCAAACATGTTAAAAATATGTATTTGTCCTCTCGGTCACAATTCAAGATGACACAGTGAGTCCACTGTTAACAGAATGAGTAACTTCCTGCTGTTCTGTGATGGGGGGGTGCCCGATGAGTCACCCTAGTCCCTTACCCCAGGAAATGGCTGGATGGTGACTTGGGGTGCCCAAGAGAGTCCTCTGCCTGTGGCATTAAAGGGCCTGCATGGGTCTCAACTCACACCTTTGGTTTCATTAATATCCCCTCTCTAATGAATCGAGCCAGCCACTGCAGACTCAATTCCTCACTGATAGAAGGGCTTACAGCAATCATTACTTCTATTTCTGGAGTGCCCTCATGCCCTTGCTATTAATCAGCTGATACAATCCCTGCCGAGTACACAGCTCCAGATGCAAACTGGAGGAGGAAGATAAGTCTTTCTGAAGACCTCGCTAGAAATCTAAGGTAAAACAGGCGGGCCTATGGGCAAAGGACCAGCATGAGGTGAAACCGACGTGTCACCAACATCTGAGTTCCCTGATCTTTCTCGTTATGTATTGGCTAACTTGGATTCCTTGTCCAGGCCAACGTTAAGGCTGACCTATGCCAGTATCATCAGTCGTGCCACCTCTCAGAGACTCTTCCGTCAGACTGCCAACACCTAAAATGGCACGTGCCATGGGTGCCTCTCAGCCCACATACATGAACTCTAAAGCATATGACTGCCAAGCAGCAAAAAGCAATCAATCAACTCACTGTGAAAATAACCGGGGGGGGGGGGGCAAACCCCTTAATGTTTGTAAATTGTGGACACTGAAAATGTAGTCAGGCTCGGTGGCTCAGCCTGTAATCCCGCACCTTTGGGAGGCTGAGGTGAGTGGATTGCCTGAGCCCGTGGGTTTGAGACCCGCCTGGGCAACTTGGCGAGACCTCATCTCTATAATAAATCAAAAAATTAGCCGGGTGTGGTAGCGTGCACCTGCAGTTCCAGCTACTTGGAAGGCTGAGGCAGAAGGATCGCCGGAGCCCAGCAAGTTGTGGCTGCAGTGGCCGGGAGCAGCCACTGCACTCCAGTCTGGGCGACAGAGTGAGACTCCAACTCAAAAAAAAAAAAAGAAAGAAAATGTGTGTTCGTGTTGTCAGTCTCAGGGTCTTGAAGATTCACCCTAAATGTAACTCCACGAGGCCAACCTCTTCTTCCCTAGCATGGGCTGCTATAAAAACAAAGACAGCGATGGAGTGAGACTCCAACTCAAAACAAAAACAAAACAAAAAAACAGACAGGGGGCCCTTCTCAGAGCTCACACAGTGGCATGAGGTATCCTCTCTCTCCCTTACCCAAAACAATAGCAACAAGCAAAACACTGGAGATTTCAGATGCCAAAGACCACTGGTATTCTGTGTAGTTTTTGTTTATTTTAGAATTGGGGGGTATATGTGAGGATTTGCTACATAAGTAAACTGTGTTAGGAGAGGTTTGAGCTTCTAGCGAGCCGAGCCCTCTCTCCCTGGTAGTGAACACGGTACCCAGTGAGTGGTTGTGCCTCTTGTCCCCCCTCTTGTCCCTCCTGCTTCCCTCACCCCAGTGTCTGTTGTGCCCATCTTTGTCCTTTCGTGCCCAATGTTTAGGGCTTGCTTATGAGAGAGAACATGCGGTGTTAGTTTTTTGTTTCTGTGATAGAGTTCACTTAGCCAATTAACTATTGTTTATGACAGAAAGGTAATGAAATATTTGCTCCCTCGGAACATGTAAATTAGCTGCATCTTTTTCTAGGGTGAAGGGTGACTTTTAAAATAAAAGTGGGGCAGCCGTCTTTCGGGTCCCCTCCTGCTGTGAGAGCTTTTCTGTCTTAATAAATTCCTACTCTTGGCCGGGCGCAGTGGCTCAAGCCTGTAATCCCAGCACTTTGGGAGGCTGAGGTGAGGGGATTGCCTGAGTCCACAGGTTTGAGAACAACCTGGGCAACTTGGCGAGACCTCATCTCTGCAATAAGCCCAAAAATTAGCCGGACATGGTAGCGTGCACCTGTAGTTTCGGCTACTCAGAAGGCTAATGTGGAAGGATCGCCTGAGCCCAGCAGGTTGGTGCTGGGGTGGCCATGAGCATGCCATTGCACTCTAGGCTGGGCAACAGAGACTCCAACTCAAACAAAACAGAATAAAATTAAAAAAAAAATCCCCTCCTACTTTCTAAATAAAATAAAAAGTGGTGAGGTGTTTCAAGGGCTTCTATGGGGCCAATGAGCCTGAACAGGTGCATAAGAAATCCATTAGAATGCCCAGGATGTATGACCAGGGCAACCACAACTTTAAGAGCTCTCCATGAGACATTCAATGCCCTACTGTGTTCTTCCTTCTTACTACTCTTTCATGAAATAACTAAGGTATCAAGCGGAGAAGAGTCTAAGTGCTCTTTCCCCTTTTCTTTGAGTCGGGGTCTTACTGTCACCCAGGCTGGAGTGGCATGATCATGGTTCACTGCTGCAGCCTCGACCTCCTGTGCTCAAGCAATGCTCCTGCCTCAGCCTCCCAAAGGGCTGGATTACAAGTGTGAGTCACCAAGCCCGGCCTCTTTTCCTACTTTTTTTTTTTGAGTTGAAGTCTCATCCTGTTGCCCAGGCTGGAGTGCAGTGGCATGCTCACAGCCACCGCAGCCTTGACCTGCTGGGCTCAGGCGATCCTTCCGCCTTAGCCTCCCAAGTAGCTGGAACTACAGGCATGAGCCACCATGCCCAGCTAATTTTTTGATTTATTGTAGAGATGAGGTCCCACCATTGTTGCTCAAGTTGGTCTAGAATCCCTGTCTCACATCCTCCTGCCTCAGCCTCCCAAAGTGCTGGGATTACAGGCTTGAGCCACCGTGCCCTGTCCTCTTTTCCCACTTTTTAATAAGAATGTATATGTAAAGCCTGCAGCACAGTGCTGGGTACATATGAAGTGTCTCCCAGATCTAAAAGATGCTACCATTCCTGAATCTGTCTTTAAAAACTGCAAGCCAGAATAGAGGCCAGAACGCTTCTGTTCCAGAGAGGATCGTGAGCTGTACCAGAGTGTGAGGCTGGCACAGAGCCCCCGGGGAATAGTGACTATACACATGGCAGGGACTCTTGTATGTGCACAGAGGACCTGCGCACATACATTTGTATCATCTTCAGATTTACTTGATCGAGGGGGGGTTACAAAACCATTTCAATTTCTAATTGAATTTCTAGGCAGGCTCAGAGTCCACAGTACAATTTTCTTCTTGGGATAGCACATTTTTGCTCTTAGGAGTAGGATGACCCTCAGACCCAGGCAAGAAGACCCTGCCTGACCACTCCTCCACCCCCTCAGTCAATCCTCTCACCACAGGGAGAAGCCCAAGATCCAGTAATCCCCCACCCAAACTGCTTTGAGGACCTGTGCCTGTCTCTTTCCTGAGCCACCAACCCAGACCATGGAGCCGAGCTGACAAGTTTGGACGGGGGTCCGCATTATGTGTGTAGTGAGGTTCCTCCTGGTAACAGATTGGGGTGGGATGGCAGGAGAGGGACGAGAAGGTCATGGGTCAAATCCCAAAGTCAAACCTGGTTCATCACACTCTTCCGTGTATCAGTGTTAAAATATTATTCAAATATTTCAAGGCACTGGAAAGAAAAGAATTCAACTTCAAGGATTACCTTTGTCATTTTTGTATATATCAATTCTAAGAACAAATTCAGAATGAAGCATTTTAAAAACTGCAGGCAAAGACTATTTTAGGATTATGAAGGTCTATTTGTCAGTAGGCAGATAGAACATACGTAACAGTTTGTTAGCCTGACAAACTTTTTAGTTATTGGACATATGGTATGTAGGCCTTCATTTGGACCTCGTCTTGTCTCACAAATATTCGGGTGCCATTTCTTTACAACGAACAAAACCAAATAAACAAGAATGTCAACAGCTGAACCATAAACGTGGGAGGTTTAAGATATTGCACTCTCATTTTCTTACTTCCTGATTTTTGTTCTTTTATTAGTAAAAATCAAAGGATGATATTGATTGGAAAGTTTCAATTCCACCACAACAGCAGTTTCCATTCATTTTAATCCTATAATCTCATTCTAGACTTGAAGTTGTATTTACTGTTTGCATTTTAATCAGCAGAATCTCCCCTGATTTACACCCTACACACCTTTAACATAACCTTGGTGAAAGGGACAAAATATGAAAGTCTAAGATGGAATTACCTAGAAGGAACTGCTTGAATATATCTGCTCAATGTCCTACAAAACACTCAGTAGTTTTAATCATATTGATAAATCACATTACAGCATAGATTTTAAGAGAAAAAAAAATCTGACTTAGGGACAAGCGTGATTTGTTTTCTTAATTGAAGGATAAACTCGTAACATGCTGAGAAAAAATCATTATGTAATATACTACATTATGAAGATAATCTATTAAAGTGCACTCAGAATAAGAGAGAATAGCTACAACCATAAAACAGTCCTTGCCTGCCGTTTTCTAAATGCTACATTCTGAATCTGTTCTGAGAAGCGATACCTACAAAAATAGCAACGGTAACCTTAAAAGTCGAATTCTTTCTCTTTTCAATGCCTTGAAATATTTGAACAGTATTTTAACACTGGTATATGGAAAAGTGTGATGAAAAATATTACCATTACACTTGGTGGAAAACAGCACATCTTTCCACTTAATACATATGGCAACCAGCAAGAGTTTAGCTTTCTAGATAGAATATAATTAGAAATTCAAGTACTGTGCGATGCCCATTATCGCTAAGAAATGGAGAAAAGTTCTGTTTTCATAGGAACACAATTGAATGGCTACTGATCCATGATTCTTAATTGAGCCAAATGTGAACATGTATTTTGATTTTTTTAAACTTTTTTTTTTAAAGTCACAGAATACTGTGCTCAAGGGAGGGCAAGGAAAAACAAAGTCAACA